TTATAAGATATTATTGTATAGCTTACGCTATCTTACATTCTCTTTCAATGTAAATTTTTAAATTCAAGTACATTTAGTCTTTTTATATAAATAAAAATGTTTTTAAATTATTTATTTATTTTTAACGATTGACAATATAGTTGTGTGATTTTCTCTGCCTTCTATATTGTTTATCCTAAGAGCAAATAGGAGATACCTAGGAGTAGGAATCAGACCCCCATTAAGTCAAAACAATTTTTAAAATAAATTTTCTCTTTCTTAAGATACTAATTAACATTTTGTCTTCTTTTAAAATAAAAATAACAATAACTATTGTTTAGGGGTTAAATAAATATTTTTTCAAAATTAAGATAAATTTGTGCAATTAACTTAAGGTAACCTTTATTTAAATAGATGTTGTAGGATACTAATACTTGTACACGTAAATAACTCTCAAACTTATTTTTTATTTCAAAGATTATATTATAGTAAAAAAAAATTTCAACGTTTTCTTAAAATAAACTTTGGTAACTATTTCGAGATGAAAATTATATTGAGGTTCGTAAACTTCAGAGATATAGAGAAAATAGAAATAAAAGTGATGGAATGTTACTAATAACAATCCCTTTATACATATTTGAATAACGAGTTTCAATCTTTTAATCGTAACATGTTACTCATGACAAGTAGCAGAGGTTCCTTCAGCTTCTAATAAACTGTATGTTCTCATGCTCTTTGCTGAGGATATATTCGATGAAAGTTTAAAAGCTAGTTGCCTATGTCAGCTTGAGCTTCTAGGTGACTTCCCGAGATGAGTGTAAAAGATATCTTGAGGTTTTGTCTTATTGCGGCTAACGTTTCTCCTGAAGTGTTGCAGAGTTGGCGCCACTTGCTCAGTCTCTTTCTATTTTCTGAGCTCTCAAAGTTGTGTTTTTTTGTCGTTTACCCTAATGACTTGAACACCAATTTGCGTGTTTGCATAATAGCAGAGTCTCTTGTAACGCCTTAGAATTTGTAGTAATAATAATTTTTTTATTTATTAATATAAACGTATGTGGATTGTTATATGTTTGTGTGTTTAAGTTATACGATGATGGTGAGTATTGAATGATGATATGAATATATGTGTAAATACGTATAGATATGTATATGTTTGTATAACATGATTGAAAGATGAATGTGGACTTGTGGCTGGACTGGAAATATAGGCTAAGTGTGTGTTGCAGGGGTGTTCTCGCTATAGCGAGAGGGTTCTTACTATAACGAGAAGGCCCTAGGAGAAGGATGTGAATTTGTTGCGCTCTTGTTGCAATGAGAGAGCGATAAAAAGGGATGCATTTTTTGTTGTAATCTCACTATAGCGAGATTTTATAGAAATCAGAGTACAAATTTGTCTGAAATTTTTGCTGTAGCGAGAGGGGATGTCGTTGCAGCGAGGAGCAAGAGATGGCTCACTGTAGCGAGAGTGTCGCGATTCATGGGGTATTTGAGGGGTTAATATTCGGGGAGTTCATTTCCCACTCTTTCGCTTCATCCCTTCTTCGATTCTCTCGACTCTCAACCCTATTTCACTATTTAAACTGCCTCAAAAGCCGTTTAAGTGTAAGATTGAAGGTTAGAATCGTGTTTGGGGCACTTGGAGGTAAGTTCTAAGAATTAAGGTTTCAGTTTTTCGTTCTTCTACTTGATTTCTCAGTTTCTCATGGAGTTTTTCGTGTGTTTAGGATAAAATTTGTGTGAGAAGCATTTCCATTGTTGAGTTTCATGTTGGGTCTTAATTCTGAGGTACGACGAACTTTACCCTATCTCATTGTGTTTGAAATTCGTTATTTTGCTATGTAGTGTAATGTGACTGAGATATGATGTAGGAAGGTGTGTGTTTCATTGGAAATAACTTGATTGTAGTGAGATTGCAGTGAAAAGATTACGTAATTTTAGTGTAATAGATATTGAGCATAATGTATGTGATGAGAATTTGATGTTTAGGTGTAATGTAATTAAATGTGAATATACGTGCCATGTATGAAATTTAATGTCGTGATATGATTGAGGATATGGTTGAAATGCTTAGACATGCCATTGGTTGATATTGAATATTACGAAATAGGCGAGAATGTGTGTGAATGACATGCAAAGTGTGATTGTATATGAAATGTTAGAAAACTATGAATGGTTCAGCAATATACTGGGGGTATGGAAGATGGGGTAGTAGAAATACCTTGGGAAAGAGAGGATGGTGGTGACACTAACAGTGAGCGTGGGTGCACTACAGGCTACACATTCTCCTCCTGACTCAACTTCTGACTAACACATTTGCTTGGAGGCTCAATCCTTGCACACATTGTATCCGTGGAGCAAGAGCTATCTAGCGACCATCTATAGTGCGAAACTGAGTAAGTCCCTGAGGTTAAGGGCATCAGGAATCTATGATCACAGTGTCACAGTAAGCGCGACTAATGTGCAGTAAGCGCATGTGTTGGGTGAAATGATTGAGGGTGCAATTATGTGTGAGTATTATTGAAAGTAATGGATTGATGCTTATTTAAATGTAATTTTATCATATTAGTAATTGTTGTGAAATGTGCAAGGTTAGGTGAGTCTCTGTGCTTGTGTGTGATAGTGTAGAGTACTCACCCTTACATTTATTTTTCAGGTGACTAAGACGATCAGCACCATGCTCAGTGAATGGGTGAATGAAACTGCTATAGGATTCAAACTTTTAATCCATCCTTATTTTAAAATGTTTTACCAAACTATATGCATTGAAAACTATTTAAATAAAAATTTTATTATTCTCACTTATTGTGAAATTTATTTATTTTAAAAATTAAATTTAAGGTGTTACATCTTTGTTGGGTTGGACTACTTTTCTACAAAAATTGTATTTTGTAGACATTATGTTTGGGCCAGATGTTTGAAACAGTGACAACTCCTCTAATTTTTTTTAGAAAACATTTTATTCATAAAAGATATTTTTCTTACCACATTTTGCCATCCCGTTGTGACCTTCGATTGCGACACTCATCCTTCTTCATTAGCATTACTAGCAACACCACCTTCCATCCCCAACATGACAACCATAGAATAATGCATCACACAACACCTAACTCACATACAATAGCAAATAGAGACCAATCATAAAGCTTATACACATATTCATCACTAGATGGTGGCGAACCATCAAACGTACACACACTTGAAAGAATCATTTTACTGCTTTATCCTACACTAGCATCAAGGAGACACTTTAACATTTCCATGACATGTACCTAAAGAATGTGCATCACATGTCTCATGGTTTGGAGACACCCTCCCTTGCCAAATAAGCTTAACTAATATGAATAGGATGTAGGACATAAAGAAGAAGAAGCAAAAGCTGATGATGATGGGTCCACACTAAATAAGAGGTGAGAAAAGAGGATGAGACTGATGAAGAGTAGCATAGTACAGAGGAAAGAGACCACATGAAAGAGGATCAACCTATACATGATTATGTTAATGAACAAGAACCATGAGTTTACTTTTGTTTTTCCTTGTTTTATTTCAAATTTTAGTTCTTGTTTGATTTTGTTTCATAATATATTTTGTTTCAAGTACTTCTCATCAACAGAACTTAATTACATAATTTTTATTTATAATCTCTTCTCAAATTCTTTACTTGTTTGTTGTATTAGCTAATTTATTTTTTGCTTCTTTTTCACCAATTTTTGCATTATTTGCTTAAGCAAAACATAATTCGCTTAAACGCACATCATTTGCTTAAGCTATTTGCTTCTTGCTCAACGAAGACTACTTCAACTAATGAATTTCGTCTTTACCCTATTTTTGCTTAAGTTAACCACATTTCTCTTAAGTAAAATGTTCTCGCTTAAGTGAGTTCAAATGTCTGAAAATGGTGTAATCTTTGTTTTTTTTTTTTTAATTACACTTCCCTTAAGAAAATTTGGTATAGCTTAATCAGACCAATTCTTTTTTAAGCCAAAATTATTGACCCTAGTAATGATTTTTATAACAAAATATATCTAAGTTGTTAATACTCACTTAAACAATAATTTGCTTAAATGGTGTTGACTCGCTTAACCGAGTTTCATACCTACCATAGTTTGAGTTGCTTTAAAATTTACTTAAACTAAATTTCATTTTTGTTTAAACTAAACTATAATTAGCTTAAACAGAAGTTACAAAATCCACTTAAATAAGGCAAAAATTGCTTAAGTTAAAACAAAAAATTAGACATCCAATTTTCATACAAACTAGAGAATATCTAGATATAAAATTAGGTATCTCAATTAAAAATAATACAATAATTACAAATTTGATAAAAATATTAAAATCTCTTTTAAGAAGTATAGCTATGATTTATTCTAACTCATAAGTTTATATATTTAGATTTAGTTTGGGAGTTAATTTTTAAAAGAAAAAATGACTCATTATATTTATTTATATTTAAAAATGTTAAATAAAAATAAAAAAATTATAAGAACATGTTTAATTATCAGAAATTAAACTTTTTGAAATTTTTAATTTTATATTTTTAAGTTGTTTAAATTTTTTAAAAAAATTATTAAATTTGTTTCAGCTTTTTTGCCTTCTAAACTCTCTATTTTAATCGTTAGTACTCGCAAACAAAAGTCTTGCAGATTCAACGTTAAACTTTTATCGTCAAAAGTCGCAAACATATAAACGCGGTTTGGCCGTACAAGAAAATTCCTCCTGTTTGACGAAAGTACCTCGTACCAGGTGCGGTTGGGTTCAACGAAATCTAAGGCACTTTGCTTAAGGCTTAAACCAAATGCACGGGGATATTAGATGAGTGTCTCAAGTGAGCGTGTATCGTGTGTTTGAATTTAATATTTTTTATTTGTAAAAATTGAATCAACTATATATATGTGACGTATAAAACCACTGCGAGTCATCTTTTACTCTAGGTTAGGCACATGTTGCCACGCAGCAACAATGCGTAGGGCCAACTAATCATTAATCGTTTGAGCTTTGTTCCTAAACATAATTGAAGAACGAAAAAGCTTCTCGAGTTTATTGATCATATACATAACAAATTATATATGAATGTATACAAAGTGTATCATGGAATTGTGGAAAACCAGATAAAGCAAATGCAAGCCAAGGCCAAATAAATAAGGCTTGCGCTGCGATGCGATACATTATATCTATCAATAAATGATGAATAAATCTAAAAACGCAAAATGCGAAAATGCAAAAGTCAACAAAGTGAGAAAGCCCCAAGAGGACCCCACACAAGTGAGACAACGACCACCGTCACTGGAGTCCCTCTCCGGTGCTGACGTGGCAGTCGAACCATTGTAATTGGGGTTGGAACCGTAGAGGAATTGAATTCCCTGTATATCATCCTCCGCCAGAACCACCTTCTTCTTCCGCGAAGATATTGTCGGAAACATAACCGCTTCTTCCTTCGACGAGTGCCCTAACCCTAGAAGATGCCCAATCTCATGCACCGCCACCGATTCCAAATCCACCGCCGTCGGCAACGCCGACTTCGTCACTTCGCCGGCCACCACCCAGTCCTCAGCGGCGTCCAGGTGGAACCTCCCGTTCGTTGGCGAGAACGCGTGCGCCAGCGTCCCCAAAATCCCGTCGAACGGTTCTCCGTCCCCGTGGTCACCGCTGAAGAACCCTATCGTAATGTCGGCACTGTAATACGACGCCGTTTCCCGGAACTTCAACGGCGACACCTCCGACCACCGCGCAAACGCCGCTGCGAAAACGCCTTTCACGGCTTGACTCAGGTCGTTACCTGGGAAGAATGAATATGTCAGCTCCTCCGCTGCCGCCGGCCACCGCGGCCGGCCGGGGAAGAGAGTGAAGTGCGAAACCGTGCGGAACCGCGGTTTGCTGTCGCCAAACGACGTCGTTTGGTTCGCCTTGCCGGCGTTCATCGTCGAGGTGCCGTTGATGATGTCGGCAACACCGCACCGCGGCAGGACGATCTGCCGGAGAGTGTCGTCGTCGAGAACGCCGGTGACGTTAAGGTTGAAGTTCTTCTGGTAGGTTTTGATGGCGGATTCGAGAGCGTCGTCGAACTCGTCGGAGAAGTTCGACGGCGGCGCGTGTGGTATGTAGCCGAAATGTTGGAAATAGCTTTTGAGACTGGCAAGGCCGTCGTAGTTCTTGCCGCGGTGACAGCCAGAAAGATTGCGGAAGGCGTCCCACGCGCCGCGGAGGGGCTCGTTGGCGGGGAGCAGGGAAGAGACGTTGGGGAAGAGTCGAGCTGAAACGACGGCGTTAGTGAGAAAGAAGGAAATTGCGAAAGCTAGGATGAAATAATAAGGGTGGGGTTTAGTCATGTTTGGTTGGTGAGAAAATGGAGTGAGATTCTGGGGAAAGTTGAGGAGCGAAGAGGGAGTATAAGAAGAAGTGTTAAAGAGAGAGAGAGATGCATTTGAAGTCTTCGTCGGGAGAATTATTTGGTGTTTGGTGATGTTATCAGCTTTGAAAAAATTGAGCTTTTTGTGTTTCAAATTTCATCGTTAGCTGGTTAATGCTTTGAAGTTCTGCGCCAATGGAAACGTCCACGCTCGGGGTTGTCCGGCTCATACGGAATATTACGGAGGTAATTTACTGATTGTTTAGTGGTTTTTGTAGGCTACTCCCTAAGTCTTTCTTTTTTCAATAATTATCGTGAACGAATTTAATGCAGACAAACTATTAGTTTTTCATTTGTTTTATTATTTATATGGTTTTGTTTAGATCTTAGCCTTCCTTTTTCCTTTTCCCTTTTCAAGTCACGGCCTCCACCTTTACTCACAAAAATAAATCTGAATCGTAGATAAAGCAACACAGATTAACTAATTATTAATCATCAAATTTTATTAAAACTCTTTATTATACTTTTTTATTTTAATATAATAAATATTTTGATAAAAATTACTACTTTCATAATAAAATCTAAATTAATTTAATATGTATCAAAGATAATTTTAGTTATTTATTAAATTTTAAAAAAACTAAATATATTGTTGGACAAATGATTTTTTCATAATTAATATACTAAAAATAATTATTTATTAATCATGTTTACCATATGAATACACGTAATTATGTTATTAAATTATATATATAATTACGTGGGGAAGAAGATATGTTTAATATCATTTATACATTTGACTTGATAATTAGTTTAACGTACGAAGCTATATATATATATAATAGAAATGTTATTTATATACCTAAAAAACAGTGATTGAATGAGTAACCTGATCAAGAGAAATAAAATGAAATTTGTTATAAAAATTTATTGTGAAAAATAATATCACTTTACATATATACTGATAGTGACTGAACTAAAAAATTTAAATCCATCATATTATTATATGCATATATCTTTAAAAGATAGGACAAAGTTGTCTTAGAAAAATATAAAGAAAATAATTGTTTAAGACAATTATTAACAAGAAAAATGGAAGTTGTTGAACAGATCCAAGTAAAGCTGGGTGGCTGCAGCAACCAAACATCATGCCCCTTGACACGTGGATGGATTTAAGGCATGTGATTCTTTTGGGCTTGGGAGAGGGATGCTTATATGGGAAGAGAGTTTACATCATTGCTTCTAATTGGTAATCCTACTGATTTTTTTTACTTATTGTTGTTCAAAGGAAATGAATATTCCGCTCATAGGTGCATAAATCATTCAATTTTCTTGAGCTGCTTTATCTCTTTAATTTCTGTCAACTTATGCTTATCCTATATAGTATTTTTCCAATAATACTCTATTTTTAGTTAAATATAATGAATTTAAATTGTATGCATAAATATTAAAATTTTAAATTTACAATAAAAGTTAGTACATTACTTGAATCTGAGTTAGAATATATTAGTTTGAATTTAGAGATTTTCTGAACAACATACATGACATCTCTCTCTCTCTCTCTCTCTCTCTCTCTCTCTCTCTCTATATATATATATATATATATATATATATATATAAAGTAGTGATTATTTTAAAACATTATGTATTTAATTATTCAAATAAAATTTAATGACCCATATTAATCGTTATTTTTTATAATAATAAAGTATTTTGAGTTGAGTCTCTTTTTGTATTTTTGTGAGTAGTTCAGTAGTTGAGTCTCTATATGATGTAAAGTGATATTATTTTCACAATAAATTTTTATAACAAATTTCATTTAATTTCTCTTGATCATGTTACTCATTCAATCACTTTTTTCTTTCTTCTTTCTAAGCTGTAGGTAACCTACAACTTTTTAGGTATATAAATTACGTTTCTCATACGTTATAAAAATTATCAAGTCAAATGTATAAATGATATTAAACATATCTTCTTCGCTACGTAATCAAGATATATTTAATGTATTATCTTGACTTATGTTTTAGTTTACCTTTTCCTCAACCCGTACTTAAGAAAAAAAAACATCTAAATCATTTTAAAAAATGATTATTTTTGAAAAAAATTAGCTAAGATTATGAAAAAAAAAAAAGAAACTAAAAAAATCATATTTTAAAAAAATAAAGTTGTTTTAAATAGCTTATAAGAAAAAAGTAAAATTATTACTACCTACTAAATAAAAAAAATACCTTTATAATTATAAATAAAAATTGTAATTTTTATAAAATCTTTAAAATAAATATTTTACTTTTCTCAAAGTAGAACTAAATATACTTTTCTGAAATGTGAAAATGGACGGCCTGAAAGAATAAATAAAAAAAAAAAAAAAAGGAAGAGAAAGGTCGTTGAACAGAACCGTAAACTTACGGCAGTTGCAACTGTTATGAGCTTAGGGGTGAAACTCGGAAGAGAAATTAATTTCTACAAGAATTTTAATAGATTTGTAGAATATTTACTTTCAACGTGAACTTTTTTAACAGGGTTACATATCTCTTTATTTGCTGAAGTTTTTTATTTTTAGTAGTTTTTAGGTGGAGGCTAGCATGAGTTAACATGTTAAGTAACTTATAAGTGAGTAAATTATTTTTAAACTGTTAGATATATTTTAAAATTTATAAACGGTTTAGATTTTTTACGTGTAGCCTAATAATATAAGTTTATGTATATTTATCATTTAATCTTTCGTAAAACTTTTCATAATTTCTCTTTAGACTTTTAAAATCTTTTATTTTGTATCTTGAAAACCTGCTATCAAAAGGCTCACTTTATAGAAATTCTCCCCCACTTGAAAGCTAAAGAACATAGATAAATAAATTATTATATTTAATTTTTAGTAGAGGTTCCTTCCATCTAATATTTGTTCACCTTCAAATAGTGAAATAATTATTCAAAGCAAACTAACTAAAAGCATATGGCAAAGGAGCTTAGAAGGGTTAGGGTGGCAGAGGGAATAAGGTATGAATGAAATCATTTAGATAGAAGCATGTTGGATGACAACCCTTATCGCTAATCAGAGACGTAATAGAAACAATTATGAATTTTCCACAAACCCTATTTTTGAAGTTAATAATTTTTAGAATTAACATTTTACATTCACTCTTACAATTTCAATTCATTACGAAAATGACATTTGTATTGATACATTATTCAATGGTCTTTTAGATCTTTCTCATGTTCTCTCTGTATAATGGTCGTTTTACATGTCACAAATTCTGCAACTTTAGCTTAAGCCATATTTTTTCGCATAAACTAAAATTATTGACAAAAAATTACTCACTAGAGGTAATTCACTTAAGCGAGAGATAAATAGTTTAAGTTGTGAAATATAGTACAATTTTGTCTTAAACAATGAATATTAGCTTAAGCGAATATCAATGTAAATAAACCCTTCCATTATAACTAATATAGCTTAAGCGAAATTATTATGGCTTAAACGAAATATGAAATATGTCTGTCAATTCTCCACTCTTTCTCTTTCTCCCTCTATTATGGAGACTTGAAAAGTTCAACGAGCACCTGCATCTTGTTGAGAATCTTGAAGTTGATACATAGAATTTGCTAGAAGAGCACCTGAAACCAACAGAAGAAAAGTTGACAACAAAGACTAAATTTTAACTTCTTAACATTTTAAGTTTTAAATAAATTAAAAAAAAATTTATGTGAATTCACGAAATATATTTTGAAATTAATATGTATGAAAAGTTTCTATTGGTAATCATATGAAAAATTTACCATATGAAAGAAAAAGAGTTGTCTCTAAGCATGTCTATCCATAGGTTTTATTGCAAGGAGGAATAGATTATAGAGACTATATGATAATTTCTTATTTTATATTTAACAATATATATAAAAATTTTACCATATGAAGTATGCAAATTATGAGAAAATAATTAGTCTAAGAGTCAAGACACAAGTAAAGGATGAACAATGGAGATTATAATACGTAGGAACGAAGCTATTAAAAAAGCCTTTAAAAGTATTTGAATTTGTTAAGCAAATTCATGCAATGACAGATATTATTATTGAAAATTTTGTTAAGATCATTTGTAAGAGAATGAAAATTTTAATGTCACAAGTTATTTTTGTATGATAAAATATAATATTTGAAGTATATAGTTTAATTAATTACTTAATCAATATTTTTTTTTATGTTAAAACTATTGCCATAATTTTAGGATTTGTTTGTGAACACGCCTTAATTAACTTATTATTAAATAAACAATTTTGTATAATTTGTTAATATCTTAAATTTGTTTGTAAAATTTTAAATAATGAGATATATTAAAAAAAATTATCGAAATAAGTACAAAATAAAACAACAGTAATTATAAATATTCACAAGCTTTTGAAAATTAAATAATTGTCATTAGAATCAATTTAAGAAATTTGTTTTGAAATTTTCATAATAAGATAAAGTAATTAAAATGTTTGAAAATAATATCATAAAAAAATTGAAACAAATTTGATGACCTTTCACCTTATTCTACTCATTATTTTAATAAATCTAATGATGAGTTAACTATTTTTATGATAATTTGTCTTAAGCTTTCAAATACTATTGCTGAAATTGTAATAAAAGTTCAATATCATTATAAAAAAAAATAGTTATACCATTAATAAATAAAAAATATGTTATTTAACGACCATTTCAGCTATTTAATTAAGATTTTGAATATTGAAAAGCTTTACCAAATACATTCTTAGGGTTAATACTAACTTTTATAATTGAAATGTATATCTAAATTAAAATTATAATAAATAATAAAAAATTAAAATTCACAAAAAAAATATACTTTTTATACTATGCTATTTTGAGTTTGAGATTTGTGACCGTAACATATGACTTAGCTAAGTAACATGATATCAAATTAATTAAATTGTATTTAGTTGGACTACTGATATTTTATGGTGATTAACAAATATGAAAAAAAAATATTTTATTTTTAAATTTAAATATATAGTTTAAGTAAAAATAAGAATGAGTTCATAAAATAAAGTAGCTAATAATTTGTTATCGTGTTTATATAAATGATAAGGACTTACTATTTTGCTGAAGCTAAACATATAACGTTTAAGCTACTACATCCTCGGCTTAAGCGGATTGTGTACCGCTTAAGCTTAAAATACTAGCTTAAACGAACAAGTTAAAGCTTAAGCGATAAATATAACTTAAAGAAAATAAGTCCAGCATAAGCAAATT